TACAGATGAGAAAATGAGGCTCAAAGAGGTCAAATAACCTGTTAGTCCAAGATTATACCAGTCACTACTCTGCATACTGAGGAATTCTGATCTAGTTAAGTTCAAGCTTTTAATGACTATGCTATGCTGACAGTAAGCTGAGGGCAAGAACAGCCCGTCTCTTTATTTTTTCATTCCTTGAGGTTGGCATGGTCTCTGGTAAATAGTGACTTGATACATTTGTTGAAGGGGTATATCATGGATTTTATTTCTCTTCGTGCAACTTGTTGCCCAGACTTTGGTCTACACTTCCAGGTGACTTCAGCCATTGCTCAGCAGTGTTCCACCAGGAAGGGAGGGCCTATGCTTGCTTTGGATAGACACTGCTCTTAAGTCTTCCCTTTATTCTTTCCATTTCCTCCATCTTAATATTCCTGAAGTCCGACATATAAATTAATGAGACCATCATGAAGAAAAGGAAGGTGAAGTCCTCTTCTGACTCCACTTAAGTAGCCAAAACTGACCTCCTATAACCTCCTCTTGGGAGTTTATATTATGTTTAAAAAGAATCTTTAGGGATGCCTGGGTGGCTCAGTTGGTTAAGTGTCTGCCTTCCCAGGGTCCTGGGATGGAGCTCCACGTCAGGCTCCCTGCTCAGCGGGGAGCCTGCTTCTCCCTCTCCTCCCCACTTGTGCTCTCTCTCTCTTGTTCACTCACTCTCTATCTCAAATAAATAAATAAAATCTTAAAAAAAAAAAAAAAGAATCTTTCTATTTCTCACACTTAGTGACTGAGTCACTCATTACCAGAAGCAAAGAAAGGCTTATTCTCCCTGCCTGACAAAACCTCACTATCATTTCCACTGTATAACAAAATAAATTGTAAAGGCTGAACTTTACCAGAAACTTTCATTTCTTCTCTTTCATCAGGATTTATCTTTTCTACTGCATGAGATACGGTACATTCCAAGACATCTGGAAATTCCTATAACAAACAATGTTTACAGTAAATATAAAACTAACGTTTTTAATTAGCTATATGTTTTCTATTGTCCATAATGCCCTTTAGAAACAGAGAACCCATAAGATAACAGGGTTCTTTACCTGATGTCTGGATGGGCTTCAAAAGGTTTGTAAGCCCTGAAACAAAGGTAAAATGCCGTGTATCCATTTTCTGGGGAAAAGGATCTCATTTTGATCAGGTACTCAGAGGAATGCAAACAAATGGTGATGGTGGGGGCAGCAGGTGAGGAGTTATAACCACTAACATAGTACATAATTTTACTTAAAAACAAAACCAATGAAAATATTTACCCATTCTGCATAAGGACATGTTAAAAGCTTCCTATATTAATCACAAACATTCTAAACCAAGACTTTTTTTCTGAGTGCAATAAAAAAGTAAAGGCAATTCTAATGCATTATAATTAATAATTTATGAGGAAAATGGTAAGATGTTAGTATATATAAATCAGAAATACATTAACTCACATTTACAAGATTAAAACAGTAAACAGTGAGGCCTTTCCCACAATTCTTGAGCATATTACAATGCCTGGCACATATCAAGGGCTTAGTGTTTGTCAGTCATGCATAAATAGAGGCAAATGGTCATTTCAGAGAAACAGAGACTGATAGAAGACATTAATCAACATCTGCCTAGCAGCTATGGAGTTTAAACTTGCAGAATGCCCACGGCAACAACTGCTTCCAGTGCATGTCCTCGTCCATAGTTTTAAAGTAGTCGATGTAATTTGTTATGAGCCTTTGGCTGAGTTGGATTCCAAAGAGTGGTTTGCAGACAGGTGGTCTGTATATTAACATTTATGATAAGTCATTTATTAACATTTAATGAAACACCCAGTGTTTCCCTCGAAACTGACATTAAAAAAATTATTTCTAGTGCCTATATTATTATGATACTCTACCACAGCAATTTAACAACCAAAACTGTTAAATAGTCATTTCTTTATTAGACCAAATATAAACTGGAACACAGTGAAGAAAGTGTGATGGGAATTAAGCACCGGAATCCTGGTATCTAGTCTAGTTGAAGAGTTGGTGACACATCCTGGATTTTCTGTTTTATGCTTAAGCATACTGGGTCAGACAGCCATCTCAGTAAATCAGCCACAGGGAATTTTGTGCTAATTGCCTATTTGATTTCCCTGTCAAAACTGGGGAAATTAATTTCCTGCTTACTGCACTTCCCTTTTGACCTACATGATTTCTTCATCCACATTTTACTCACCCTGACCAAATCAGGGCTGATTTGGGAGCTCCACTCATTCAAGGTCTTTTGGATACAATCTCGAAGCTGTAAAAGGAATGCATTTTGAAACTGTTAATCAAACTCTATACACTTTCTGTACTTCTACAATAAGAATATATTAGTTTGATAAGTTGGAAAAAGAAGATGTGAATAGGAAAAACCATAAAAACCAAAATTTTAGTTCTACAAGGTTTTTGTTTTCTTCAACAAAGACAAGTTTAGATCTGTTTTTATCTTTTTTTTTTATAAAATGTTTTATTTATTATGAGAGTCAGAGAGAGAGAGAGAGAGGCAGAGGCAGAGGGAGAAGCAGGCTCCCTGCCCAGCAGAGAGCCCGATGTGGGACTCGATCCCAGGACCCTGGGATCATGACCCGAGCTGAAGCCAGACGCTTAACCATCTGAGCCACCCAGGCACTCCTAGATCTGTTTTTATCTTAATCTTCAAATGTTGATGTAATACAGTAATCTATTTTTAAAGTGTCTTTGTACCAATGAAAGTTTAAGTAAGCCTTTGAGACATAAAAGCATTCACAAAGAAACAAAATTTTTCAAGAATAAGGTTTATAAATAGAGGAACGTGAGTTCAAGCCCAGGGAGCCTGACTAAAATTAGTATTAACCACTTGAGATAATCCTCAAAGACAAATAAATGATTGTCTAAGTATGGCCAGAGGAACTCCATTATTCACCTGTGGTGTTCATTAAAAATTCCAGTTCCTGAGCCCCATCCTAGACCTGCTGAATCACTCTAAGGGCAGCAGAACTTGCATTTTAACAAGCATCCCAAGAAATCAACATGTAAAGTCTGAGAACTACCACAGTCCTATCTTACATAAGTCAACTTGCATAATATCAGCCCATATGTCATTTCCTACCACTTAGGTATACCTTCAACCGGTCTTCAATGTTTTCTTATACAAACAAATAAAACTTGTTTACACTAACATTATAGTATGTTGTAAATCCATTAAACTGTTCATGCATCTTTCATCCCTTATGTTGGTGTATTTCAAACTTGTCTGATAGAGCTCCAAAGTAAGACCTACATACATTCACATATAGAGTAAGGACCTAAATAAATAGAACAAAAAATTTATAAAATGGTATGTTCACTACATGCTAGGCACTCTGATGGCTTCTATTAATTAGAAAAAAAAACATGCTGTTCTATGGCTCACCAAACTGACTTATGACCACTAATGGGCAACACTAGCAATTTGAAATCATTACCTTATAAACATCCAAGGACACAGTGCTTTGCATTCTGTGGGCAATCAATGAAAAAATAAATGAGTAACTGGAATCAAGTCCCTAAACTGCAAAAGCACTTTCCTAATAGCAATAACACAGACTAAACTTCTGAACTCACTGATCTATGATTGCTTATGATAAAAACTGACACAGCACTTTACTGCTTTTATCTTACTACAGATAATTACAAGGGACAACTGGTTTATCAATTTAAGAGCTCAGAGTCATCTACATTAAGCTTCATAAGCCACAACAAAAACTTATGTGCTGTCCACAATAATCCACATGAATTCAATCTACAAGGTCTCTATCTTCATGGAAAATATATTTATAATCAAATTTAAAATATTAAATAAAAATTAGTTGATAATTATTCCAGACAGAATTACAAGTCAATATTCTTTTCAAAAATGGTAAAAGTTGGGGCAGCAGGACTAAAAGTTAACAATTCTATCAAGAGTGCTTTGGCTCAAATCATGGGAGAATTTTAAGAAATTTTCCTCTGGAGGTGCCTGGGTGGCTCAGTTGTTGGGCGGCTGCCTTAGGCTCGGGTTGTGGTCCCAGGGTCCTGGGATCAAGCCTCACATCGGGCTCCCTGCTCGGC